CTCTCTGTCCAGGTCTGTGTGAACTTCCCAGCGGATCATCCGATGTGGTTTTGCAGGGGTGCACCAACTTCTGTCTGTTTACCCCCCTCGTTGTTGTTGTGTAGGAGGATATTATCTCCATATGGAACAAGACGGCTAGCGACCAGGCGACGACCGCTCGGATACGGGACACCTTACGCCGAGTGCTTAACTTACCTCCAAACACCATCATGGAATACAAAACGCACACCGACAGCATCAAGTACGTGCAGGGGCGGGGAGGGAGCGCTGCCCCTTGCGCGTGCATCTGGCCAGTTTCGGTAGGATCCAGGTGCAGGGAAGAGCCATCTCATGCACTAATGCTTTGGAGCTGTTCGCCACTAATGGTATTGTAAGCCACAGCTGTCACATCGTGACCTCACAAAGCCAAAAGTCTGCCCATTGCCACGCTGCTGTTGGGGGTATATGAACTTAAAGCTCTCAGCTGGCCTGTAGCCCGCAATCCTTTGAATGAGTAGGAATTCTGGAGAATAGAAAACAAAAGCTAGCTGGGATTTATAGAATCTTTAAATTCATAACCATTCTCGATAAAGCCCCATGTAAATTTACAGCGCTGTGCAACTCATTTCTAGTCTTCATAAATCATTACATGAAATTGTCTCAACCCAGGGTAATAGAGGCTTTTTAATATGACTTGAGGATTGTGCTGCATAGAGAGGACAGTTGTATTTTAACCAAGCCCATTCTAATTTGCCGTGCTAGGCTATTTGGCGTGACTTTTATGACTCGGTGTCAGAGTCCCTGCATATGTGGGCACTAGTCATAAGTAAATAACATTAAACCCTTTCCACTGACATGTATTATAAACCAGACGTAAATTAGGTTGTGTGGGTTAGGCTGAGAACATTTCAAAGTTTACCTACACACAGAGAGATTCAGAACAGCAAAAATTCCGTGGCGTGGAGGGTTTTCTAGTCCTGCTCGTAAGCAGGGGCCAAGCATGTGTGACTTTTTCCCCCAGGCTAATCCTGTTTCCATGGCTAAAATATCCCAAGTCTTGGCAACCCATCTGTCCAATATAAAATCCACAGAACAGTGGTGTCACGATGAGTGGTCATCTCAGCCTCGTTCTTAGTGGACAAGCATCTACATCATAAGCTGTGGGTCTCCTAGTCAAAGTACATATTGTTTGTGTTTATGCCAAAGAACCTTGCCTTGTCAGCATGTTTCTTTGCCAAAGACCCTCTCCTTCTCAGAGGACTTCTGGCATAGTGGGGTGGACGTGGGGATATTTTCCATTAACCTAACCCTGTTCCTGATTCTGAAAAATCTGACTTGTTTTGTTGGCTGGCTCTCTCATGCGACACCTGTCTCCTGTGCCTGCTCACGTTAATTGCTTGTGGGGAGCAGAATTTCTGTGGTGCTCCTTTCATTACAGGATCTCAGCAGGCCCCTGCAGACCCACCGTTGGCTGTGTCATGTGTGACCTTTGTTGGGCAGTGGCGCAGACTGAGAGTGAAGGTTGCGGGGTTCTCTGTGGGTGACGGGGCTGTAGAATTTCCTCTCTGTCCCCTCTCTTCTCCCTACCTTCCTCCAGGGCTCTGTACA